AAGACTAAAGGTTCAAAGAACTGGTCTTGTTCAACTACTCATACCAGATTATGTGCTCTCTCCCAGAAACTATAAATAAGGACCACTCTGCATAGTTGCAATATAAACCACAGATTGGCTTTGTTAGTACTGAAGAAACACAAATGTACCTGAGCAGGCATCTGTAACAGGGATTAGCTAGCCAGCCTAGCAGACAAGTATACTCAGAAATGAGCAATCATCCATTACTAAAAAGGAATAAAGATATATTATGATAGAAAACTTTATCAGATCTACAGGGTGCGATGGGTATATTGTTGCCATTTTATATTGTTAATTTTATATATGCACATTGTTTGTTTTTGTCGACTACACAGTATAGTAGGATCAGTTGTATGTGAGAAAAAGAGCACTATCCTGTTCACTCCACTAGAAATTTGGAAATGGCAAGCTGTACTCCTTGGCATTCACACCAGAAGCTCCAATATTAGCATTTCAAAGTGTTTGGGTGTCAATATGAGGACAGTGCAGAGGATTTGAAAAGAGTTGAATGAGTCTAATGATGATTACGAAGGTGTTTGGAATGATCACTAGTAATGGCGACATTATGACTCCATTCATCTTCCCATAGGGCCTCAGACCCAACACAGAGGCTTACATCAAGTGCCTTGAAGAGGTAGTGCTCTCCTGGGTCAAGAGGGTGGCTGCTGGAAGACCCTATGTCTGGCAACAGGGCTCTGCACCATGCCACACAAGCAGGAGAACCCAGTCATGGCTTCCAGACAATTTTTGTGACCACATCACCTAACTCCCCAGACTGCAATCCTGATTATTATTATGTGTGAGGCGCAGAGAGACCAACACAATTCCTTGTAACACCAAAGATGAACTGAAGGCAAGGATTATGGCAGCATTCACCAACTTAAACAAGGAAACCATTCAGAAAAGATGCAGGAGATTCTAAAGTTGTCTGGATGCCATGGTTGAAGCCAATGGCAATTTTATTGAATAAATTTACTCTTTAGTATTTCAAAATATTTTTGGATAATTTTGGTAAATATATCTGTTGTTTTCATTTTATTTTAGACAATAATTTATCCATTGCACCCTGTACTTGTAAAATTGTATGAAGTGATTGAATTTTGCTAGATTGTGATGTGATATCCATCCATTCCATATGGCAGTGAATGCTGAACAACCTCTCTAAAGATAAAGAAAAAACTGGAGGCAAGAAAATTTTATCCTACAGAAGGATGTTGAGAATTTCATGGATGGAGCAAGTAAACAACAAAGAAATCTAAAAAAAAATGGTAACAAGAAGGGTAAATACTCTGAATCAAAAAATGACAGCTGAAATTTCTATGACATAATGAAGAAGGAGGGCTTGGAAAATTTAATCCTCACAGGGCATACTGAGAGACAGAGAGATAGAAGAAGGCATCAAGCCACATACCTGACAAGCCTGTGAATGTATGGCAGAACAGGGGTGGGAGCCTAGGTAAAAGTAGAAAAACTGCTTGGGCCAGGAACTTTTGGAGAGCCATGATTGCCCATGTCCTGAAGGGGTACAGCACACAGAAGAAGTAGTCTTAGTATGACAAACATAAACAGAAGAAATTGCATTTAGAGAATGGATATGCTTTTAGGACTACCATAGAGTCTGGTTCATGTAGCCCCACACATTATAACAAAGCACCCTCATTCCCTTCATATTGAATTGGTGAGATGTAAGATCAACTTGAAAAGTTTCTTCCCACAAGGATGTTTCCCTAGTCACTACAATTTTGTCCTTTTCAACTCTAGGGTCAACTATAATCTTACCTACATATTCTCATAAAATGTGCCCCTTACTCTGTAACCCTCTACCTCGACTGGCTCTCGAGTCTTGTACAGGGTGAGCATCATTGTAGCATCCTGGATATGATGATAAACTACATATGGCAGCAATGCCTCTGATTGGGAGGTTTTGAGGTGTGTGGAACCACCCCTTAATTGCTGTTGTTCCCAGGTTCACTCTGACCCAGGATGGTAGTACCTGTTAGGGCCTCAACTAAGGGTGAATAGTTAACCCTTAAACTGGGGTTAAAACACTATGAAAGTATAAAATTACATTTTTATAGTAAAAATACCAGCAAATTCATTTTCATAGTAAAAATTTACCAGCAATACATTTTTGTAAAAGAAATTACTAATGCTCCCAAGAAAATTAAATTTCATCACTAAATGACCCATAAGTAGTTTATATGCCGCTAAACAAACAAATAAACAAACAAACAGCATCATTGTAAAAAAAGAATTTCTGTGCAGTTCCAATAAGTGCAATTTTTTACTTGGTTTAAAGTTGTAAATTATGTTCTGGCTCTTGAGATTCTTTGAGAAATTCTTTTCCTTACTGCAAATGTTATTTTTAGAAATTATTTCAAATTCATATGAATATATCATATTCACAATCTTTAAGCCATTGTATGCTCTGGCCGTCTTCAGGTGATAATGGAATTTCAAACTGAATCTTTTTTTAGTTCACTGGGATGGATTGTTCTAGTTCAACATGCCAGGCCTTTCTTGAATATTGCAGTTATTTCAACCAACGCTTTTATCCACTGAGGCATAAGCGTTGGTTGATGCAATCTAGTTATGAGTTCAATAACTGGCCACAGCAGCAGTGAAGAAAAATTTGGTAAGTTGAGTTACTAAAATGAGATATCCAGAAAAGGCATGACACATGAAACTAGAACAATCTATGCCAGTGGACTAAATGAAGGGTTTGGTTTGAAATTCAAACATATATCACCTGAAGAAGGCCAGAGCATACAATGGCCAAAATGTTGTGAATATGACAATAAAGATGAGGACAACAGTCCGAACAATGTAAATAGTGTAAATATTTTAGTGAAATTTTCACTTTCCAAAATTATAGTTTATGCTTATAGTTTTTGATTCTATGATGATATCAGTTTAAACAAACATCCTTTTTTCATATATTGTGATCATTTTGCATAAATTTATATTTTCATGATTTTCAGATGAAAGTTTCCAACATATTTCAGTGAAATTTTTACTTTCATAAAATATAGTTTATACTTATAATTTAAATATATGAGAAAAAAGAAAGGCTCAATTTAAACTGACACCAAGAGAATTTGAGCTAAACATGTCTGGGAATTTTTCTTTTTAAGGAGGTGTCACCTTTCATTTAGGGAGGTGTCACTTTAAAATGATGCCATAAGAATATGAGCTTAAACTTCCTATAAAAGTTCTGATGGTATATCTTGGATATGTAGAATTTGAGAAATATAAAGAAATAAAAAATAAATTATTTTCAAAGAGTAGATATTTTTTTGTTTTAATTTACCACACTGAGTTTATTTTCATTCTCCTGATTGGATTAGCTATCACAAGAACCAAATATGGTTTACTCATTATGGATTTATGATGGAATGATATCATCTTTTTCATTTCGACCATTTTGTTTAAAATTCATATTTTCTTAATTTCACTTAATAACTTGGAGATTTTCCAACTTATTTCAGTGAAATTTTCACTTTCCAAAATTATTGTTTATAATTATTGCTTAGATATACAGAAAAAAAAGAAAGATTCAGTTTAAACTGATACCAGGAGAATTTGGGTTAAACATGGCTGGGAATTTTTACTTTTTTGTTTTTGCTACTATCATTATGCCAAAGATTGTTTCAATATGATATGATTAATGGTATTATTCCAACTGAAATATTAAGGAATTATATCTGCTCTTATCTTTGGATTCTGCTGATAATATTTTTCTTAATGCCACTCATGGTTTGTTTAATGATTTTTCTTGACTAAGTACTTGTGGTTATGCAGTGTTTTGCAAGACATAAATCATGAACCATCTTTCTAGACGTTCTATCAATTTACCCCCTAAGTCAGATTTGGTTTTATCAAAGTAGATCAATACAATGATTTTCTGCTTGAGAAATTCAATAAAAAAAGCTTTCATTCTTGAAAGCAACTTTAGTCAAATTTCCTAGCAGATTGCTACATCTGATTTAAGAATAACTTACCATGAATATTCAAGTAGAATCAAGTAAAATTAATCATATTATTTGGTTGAATTTGCTCACATTTATTAACTGAAAGTCATTTAATTAATAAATATTAAACACTTTAAATAGATTGGTGTATGAATGAGTTATAACAAATTTAGTATAGAAGATAAGAAACTTGAAGATAGAATAACCTGTGCTATGAGTAGTTCTGTCCAACACCATAAAATATTTCAGTTATGTGCCATGTGTAATGCATGCTTAGGTGATCATGTATCTTTCAATACATGACTGACGAGGTAGATTTTTTCCCACAATAGGTTGCCATTTCTTTCTGCAGTAGACCAGTTGCCATCCAATGCTATAGAACCCAGTCTGTCCTGCTATTTACCCACAGCTAGGGGAAGAAGAGGATTCATATTTTCCCAAGGGTATTAGCACATGTGAATATAATGGATTCAACTGGAATTCAAACTCAGCTCTCTGATTTCTCAATCCTAGCTGCTACCCATTACTCCACTATGCCTACGCTATCAAGAGGGCTGCTGAGTGATCCGTCCCATTTTTCACCAGGTGAGCGAGGATACGATAAGATACCACAAAACCAAAATATTAACTTAAGAACTTGAGTAATGTTCTCATGGTTTAAATAGCCTAATAATTTAGAAATACCTAAAGTGTCAGTTGTATACAACTGTTTTTAAAGATCAACGATTAAAAATGGGTTTGAGCAAATGAAACTTGTAGGTCTCAAAGAAGAAAATCCTTCATCAAATCTCATAGGCTGGCCCTATCAGGATGTGAAATTTAATTAATTTAATTTTCCATGACCTTTTGATGCTTGGGGTCATAATTCTTATTCTACATATTCTAAAATTCTTTTGGCTGACATTAGGGATTTTCTTCTTATTCTTTATTTTTTTTGTTTTATTTTTTTTTAATTATTGATGATATTGTTACTATGACTACTCTCTCACCTCATATTGGCTTATAACTATATCACGTAGAAACACCAATTTCCATATGGTCACTGAAGTTAAGCAACATTGAGCCTGGTCAGTACCTTGATGGGTGACCACTAAGGAATACCAGTTGCTCTCAGCTTGGATGTGTGGGTGGTGTAATAGATAATGATTTGGAATTTTTAATCAGAGAACTGAGTTCCAATTCCAGTTAGGTTCATTATATTCACTTATGCACAAATATCCTTGGAAAAGGTATGAATCCACCTCTTCTCCCTCAGCTATGGGTTAATTAGTAAGGATTGTATGACTAAATCATTATTATCTTTCAAAAAAACGTACTTACAATAAAAAATAAAAAAATATTTTCTGGCTATAAGTAAGCTGAAAAGGGTTTAAAAACTATAGAAGATGAATCAATCAATTCACGTCATTGAAAATAAGAAAATAAAAATATGGAATTGGCTAAGAATGATTTCCTTGCAAGTAAACAGGACCAGTGCATAATACCCCTGAAACCCCCCAACTGCAGAGTATCCCAAGCCCAATTGAAGCTCCTAGGTAGAACTAGAGTCATATTCTTAAATTGACACATTGAGACTTTCATATGGATGTCATGCATGGTGCCAAACCTGTACAGAAATCTCTAAACTGTGTAAAACTGTTTTCTCTGATGAATGATTGAAAATGGCTTCAAGCAAATAAAGCCTGCAGTTCTTAACAACTACTAACCTTTTTTTTAACCTTGTGACAATCACAAAGAACTACCAAATAGTAGAAATTGCAACATTCAACTTTCAACAGCAGCAATAATTAAAATGAATAGCACATATATTTTTTTTTTTTTAATTTTAGGCTTTTTAAAGCTTTTGTATTACATGAAACAATAAAAACCTTGTTTGGCAAACATTAATGATTGCTTTATCTCTTGTTTTAAACTTTGTTCTACTTTTGATTACACAGCAATATATGTGGAAGGAACTGGCAGGAGTATGTTTATATAGGGGTTTTTTAAGGTTGATTTCTGTCATCTGGAATTTTCTGTGGCCAATCTATGACCTGGTCTTAAGGGTGCCAGATTAAATTCGTTGAACTGTACTAAATAACAGAAACCATATCATTTGACTTTCAGCAACAGCAACAACTAAAATGGATAGCACATGTAACTCGACAAGAAAATAGTGACATAATCAAGATGTTGATGTTCAACACTACTTTGAATAGCCATCAATACTGGAAAGCACAATAGCAGTGGACCTGAGAAAGCTATTTTCCTGAAAAACTCTTTTAAGAGGATCATTTTATGAATCTCAACAGAAAATAGCACTGGCTGCTTGGTCAATGAATGCCTAATGTTTCTGTATATAGAAATAACTAATATTATAATTACCATTAGAGATGAGTTGAACAGGTACCACACTTTGATCCCATTCTTATAGCCAAGGAGTGAAGAAAAGCATAGCTTGAGTCACATTGGCTGCTCGGTCAATGAATATCAAATTTTTTTCTTATAAGGAAATGGCTAATATTACGCTTACCATTAAAGAGGTGGAGAACAGATACTACACATTAAAATCTTATATTTTAAGAATAAATCAAAAATGAAACAAGAAGGGTAAAATGATAATTATGATTTTAGCTTTTTATGTCTGTTGTATTTTTTGTTGGTCAATAGGACAATTAACAAAATTCTTCTCAATTTAATTCCACAATTTCAGGCATTCACATCTAAGACCCATTATGTCACATACACAGGTTTGATTAATACTCATTCCCCTTGTATTCCATTAATAAGTAGGAAGTTCCACTCAGACAGCTTCTTCTCCAGAAGTGTTACTTTATGTAACAAACTCTCAAGAAGATGCTTCCCTAATCACTATGATATTAACCACTTCAAGTCTAGAGTCAACTGCTTTCTCTCTTCCATATCATTATAATATGAGAAGATAGGTTTAACTGTCACCTGATTCATACTCCTGCCTGGTCTTTTGAACAGAAATAGAGGTTTATCCCTTGTTTTCTGCTTAGGACTGGGCTTCCCGTTCCTTCTAAAGTCTTTTCTTTCTCTTTCACTCCTAGTAGCCCCTTGCATCTTAGTGGCATTATCACTTTGCATAGGGTGAATTAATTTTTGAAAAATGTACTTCTTTCTTCCCCTCTGTATGCTCTTCAATGTTATTCAGTATTCCTCTACTTTGAGTGGCTCTTTAGTCTTGCATTAAATGAACAATAATATAAAAAATTCTAAAAATTTAAAATTTATTTAAATATATTTTATACCCTTTTTTCTTTTGTCAGCTAATGATCACATGTCACCTCACATGCACCAAAAAAAAAACTCATTACAGTAAAATTTAAATCACATTAAGTGTATTAAGGAAATTACTTGGCTCTCTTATAATTACAGTCAAACTTTTATTTTTCATCAAATTTTTTTAATTTTCTGGCAATTTTTTAAAAACATTCCAATACTAGGTACCGGCCTCTGACTTTTATTGATTCTAAAGGCCATTGTTTAAAGTAATGTACACATTGCCACTTATTTAACCTTGTATTACCAAGTAACAGACTTTTGGCTTTTACAGCTTTAATTTGCTCTCATTTTAAGGAATCAACTTTTTTCTTTTTACCTCCACATATTTTTTTCATTTCAACTCTAAGGAATCAGTTCCAGACTTTGATAGACTCTGATTGTTGCAATCTGAAGTGTTGAACATTTTTATCGATATTTAACCACTTCAGTAGCAATTAAACATTATAATTGCTCAAAAGGAAATTATAGACAGTAGCAAGTGTCTTGATGTGCAAATTGTAGCATTCAGTATGCCATTTTATATTTTTAATTTTGTGCATGCATTTTTTTGATTTTGTCAACTGCACAGTATAGTAGGGTCAGTTGGGCACCATCTGTGAGAAAAAGAGTACCATGATGCAATTCACTCCACCAGAAATTTGGGAATGGCATGTTGTACTGCTTGGCATTCATACCGGATGCTCCAATACAAACATTTCAGAGTGTTCGGGTGTCACTCTGAGGAGAGTACAAAGGATTCAGAAAGAGATGGATGAGTCTAATGGTGATTAAAAAGGTACAGCAACTCTAAAAACACATTCTGATCATTATGATAAGAAAAGAACTCTCAAATTTGTTGGTGACAGCTTCAGAGACAACACAGAGGCTTACATCAAGTGCCTTGAAGAAGTAGTGCTGGCGTGGGTTAAGAGGGTGGCTGCTGGGAGACCCTATGTCTGGCAACAGGACTCTGCACCATGCCACACAAACAGGAGGACCCAGTCATGGCTGTCATTTCTTACATTCCCTCTTATATCTGAAGGCAAGGATTATGGCAGTATTCACCAAGTTAAACAAGGAAACAATCTAGAAGAGTTACAGGAAATTCCAAAGTTGTCTGAAGGCTGTGGTGATTTTATTGCATAAATTTAATCTTTAATATTGCAAGATATTTTTGTATAATATTGGTAAATATATCTGTTAAAATCAGATGTCAGTATTTTCATTTTTGCATAATTTAGTAGACAATTTATCCATCACACCCTGTATATTTGCATTACAAGATTTTATTGCTTACTTTATATGGGTTTTTCCAATGTAGTTTTTGTTATCTCACTCTCCTCTCCTGTTCACACTCCTCTCTGGTCTTTTGAAGAAGAGTAGAGTTTTTTCCTTTGTTTCCTGCTTAGGACTGGGTTTCTGGTTCCTTCTAAAGATCTACTTCAATTCTATACTTCTAACATATCTGTCTAAACTCTGAAAATATTTATTTACAGTTTATTTACCTACTTTTTTTATCTCAATACAAGTAGATAGGTTCACCTATCATCCTGTTCACACTCCTCCCCAGCCTTTTGAACAGAAGTAGAGGTTTATTTCTTCTTTCCTGTTAGGAAAGTAGGAATAGATAGTTTTGCCTATAGTTTTTGTTATCTCACACTCCTGTCCTGTTCACACTCCTTCCCAGTCTTTGAACAGGATTAGAGTTTTATCCCTTGTTTACTGCTTAGGATTGGGTTTCTGGTTCCTTTTAAATTCTTTTCATTCTCTTTCACACTCAGTAAACTTTTTGCATCTTAGTGGCATTATTGCATTGCTTAGGTTGAATTGATTAAAAAAAAATTAATATATTTTAAACTATGAATTGAATACTGATACTTGAACATAAAACAGTACTTCTTGTTTGTTTTAGCTATAGTCAAATTAAAAATATGGATAAAACTGACAACCTACAATATAAAGGTGACTGGGCATAAATGTATGTATCACATTCTGGTAATGAATCTGGAATGTATGATCTGTGTGCTGAGTTCAAATTCTAGCCAAGGATATTTCATTTGCTTTTGCACAATTACCCTTGGAAGAGTAAGACTCCATCTCTTCTCTTCTGCCTTGCTAGGAGTTAATATCATGGTGGAATGAGTTTTATAGCTTTGCTGGTTTGCCAGTATAAGAGAAGGAAAACTTTAAATTCAAAACCAGTTATGTGTAGATGATATTAAAATGATATTGCAAAATATGTGTGAATAAAATTTTATGTCTATTAAATATATTTATCCTTTTTTTCTAGAATGTAATCAATCCTGACTTAACATCTCAATTTCAGTCACTTTCTCACCGACATGATGTGGCTTCTCTCTGTCTTTTTTACAATATTTTCATGGCAACTGATAATTTTTTCCCTGGTTCCCTGACTACATGAATTTAAGAGTGATACTAATTTGGCACCTAGGTCCCCACCGTTTCCTGTTAAATGTAACCACAACTTCTACTCCAACAGTTTATTTCCTCTCATTTCCCACCTGTGCAACTTCCTTCTGTTTACTTGTTTCCCTGAGAAATACAATCTTCAAAAATTTAAATGCAACATCAATCAACATCTTCTATCTTCTTGAATCTCGTTCATATTTTATCCTCTCCTCAATCCCTCTCACTGTCTTTTCTCTCACTTTCACACTCTGTAATCCCTCATGTACTAGTGGCATTCCTGCCTTGCTTGGGGTGAAAAAAATGCAACAAAAAAAAAGATGTTCAAGATAGTAAAAAAACATAAAACATGTAAGTTAGCTAAAAATGATTTCATTGCAAGTAAACGTATTTCTTTCAAATCTATCCTTACCAT